ATTATAATTCACAAATATTGAATGAATTGAATTTCTTGAATTATCAATAAAAAAGAAAATTATTAATTATTAGAATTAATTAATTATATCGAGCAATCTTGATAAGACTAAAAAAAATTTGCCGCCCTACAAAATTTGCCCTGGGCACTTGCCCCGACAGCCCCTAGTGTAAATTCACCACTGGGTGTATACCTAGTTTTAATGTAATTGGTTAAGGTTTGGCGGGCGATGCGCGGCGTGCAGCGCACGGGGCGCGGGGTGGTACTGACGTCACACAGCATGGAGGAGTGCGAGGCGTTGTGTTCGCGCCTCACGATAATGGTCAACGGCCGGTTCCAGTGTCTCGGCTCACCGCAGCATCTCAAAAACAAATTTTCTCAAGGTTTCCAAAATCGCATTCAATACTAAGAACAATGGAGGTTCAATGTCTTCTGTTGTTTAAGACTACGTTATATATTGTGGTCTAGTCAACAAGTTCAAAAACGTGAAAAATAGAGATAAAGGTCCTAAAAATATGAGCGATGGCTCATTCGATTCGGAATCACCTCTAGAAAAATGTTTTTGAAGAATTTTGGTGCAGGTTAAAAATTGTAATTGTTATTAACAAAATAAGATGAAAAAAAAATGATATTTCGTTTATTGTTAATAACTTGAAAAATATTGTGTTGTTTAGTTACATTACGGATACTTGAATATTTTTCTAAAAAAAAATGTTCTGAACTACAAGTCACTTTTTTCAATTCATTTTGGACCTACTTAGGCAATTTTGAGCTTAGCAATGGCGTGGTTGTCTCCCTGGATGTATGTTCCCTTGTCACTGGAGTTTTTCAGTAAATTATTTTACTTTTTGGAACTCTATGACAATAGATCATTAAATTAAACGACATAATGTATATTTTTTCAATTTCTAATTTTGTGATATTTATACAAAATTTGAAGAGACTGTAAAATTGATCGTTTAAGCCATCATCGTTTTTTCTAGGATTCACTTTGATCATCAAACTGAAGTCAAATGAGGAGACAGATCCGTCATCCAGCAGAAACCAAGAAGAAGCTATTAAAAATTACGTCACTGCCAATTTCGTCAACCCTAAGATGATGTAAGTGTGTACTTATGTTGGGAAAGTAGAATTGTTATATTTTTTATTGGTCTCGATCGGTGAGCGAATACGCGGCTTGTCTGATCTTAAGTGGTTATCGAAGCCTATGTTTATATATATATATTTTTATTGCTTAGGTGGGTGTACGAGCTCACAGCTCACCTGGTGTTAAGTGGTTATTGGAGCCCATAGACATCTATAACGTAAATGCGCCACTCACCTTGAGATTTAAGTTCTAAGGTCTCAGTATAATTACAACGGCTGCCCCACCCTTCAAACCGAAACGCATTACTGCTTCACGGCAGAAATAGGCAGGGTGGTGGTGCCTACCCGTGCGGACTGACAAGAGATCCTACCACCAGTAATAGTAATTGCGAAGTTGTTGTTTATCGCCATATGCTAATTGTTTTATATACAATTGTTTTACAGGGAGGAGCATCAGGGTCTGATAACATACTATTTGCCGGATCAGACAGTACCGTGGTCGAAGATGTTCGGTATAATGGAACGAGCGAAACAATCCCTCGACGTTGAAGATTACAGCATCTCTCAGACGACCCTAGAGCAGATATTCTTGCAGTTTACGAAATATCAAAGGGAAGGCTTGTGAATGAGATTGTAATATTTATTCTTAAGTGATAGTAAATAACAAAAGTGGAATTGCTTTAGAAGCCATTGATTGGTCTGGCATTTGTACCAGTTTAGATTTAAATATTTGGCTCCCCAATAATTAAATTTGTCAAATTAAATTTAAATAAATCTCCCCAATGAGAAGTTCGTTGGTTTACTATGTTGTTTTTTTCTATTCAAACGTAATGAACATGACAGAAATTAATTTAATATTAAAACAATAAAGGTTTTAGAACAAAGTCTTAATTTTTATTTTTGTATAATTTACATGAATATATGTACTTAAGTAAATAAAATAATTCATTTATCTTACGAACTAGAATACGAATAATGTCTACGTTGGAAAATAGGCACAATTGTGATTCAAACTTTATTGAGTATTGTTTTATAAGGAGATTATTAAAGCAGCTTTTAAACAAAATCAACTGATTAAGTGGACCTACAAAACATAACGGACTGTTTACTACAATATAACGATACGTGAGGTAACTCATTTACAAAGATAAACACTAGCGTAAATATATTATTTAACATAAATTTTTTGACATTACAAGCAAACATAGCCTCAAAGAACTAGAAAGGGCATGCACAAAGCAATAAAGTACGCGTTACTAAAAACTATAAATAAAATCACATTCGCGTAATCACAGCAGACTCCCGTAAAACGCGGGATACAATTGATTTGCTTACGTCACAAGAGAAGGAACTGAGGAAGTTCAATAGGAAGAGAGAGGGTAGGAGGAGGCGGCACTGCTGTTTTATGAGTGTTCCTTCGCACACCACTGGAGTCTGCTGTATTTAAATAAGTTTAAATGAAACCATTTAATGGTGAAATGCATGCATGGCTATGCATTTTTTTTGTTATAAAATAACTAGGTCAACGAAATATCAACTAATATAATATGATAATAAAACTAAATATAATTTGCGTCATTAAATGTCGAACTGCCTCAGAATGTAAGGTCAATTAATCAAGTTACACCCATTTTTTTGAGTCTCACAGTTTAGTACAAACAGTACTCGTATCAAAATATTTAAGCCAAACACAATTTCGATGAATTGATAATTCACTCATAGACGAATGTTAATTTTTGTTTTTTTCACTTTCCCGTGAGTTGTATAGGTGATTTAAAAACACTTAGGTAATCGTAAAGCGTAATAAATAGTAATAAAATTTAAATTACTTTTAAAAAGGTCATTAGAACTTCGCAGCAATTTGCTGGCCACATACAAAGCGGTTAATAATCAGAGTGTCCTAAGTCACTACGTTTAGATCTAAACATGATGCTTTTCAATGTCTGGAGACTTTCAGTGGCATTCAGTTTTCAAATAATAGTATCAGGATTCGTGCTTGCTAACATCCTGTACTTTTTATTACCAAACAAGGAACGTTTGAAAATTATTTATCGTATTTTTATTTACGGTTATATTCAAACTGAACTTGTATTTATTATCTACATTTTAACTATTTTGATTTGAGCGATCAATATACATATATTCGGATCATTATCGATGACGCTTGACACTTTCTTTAACTTAAGTACATTTACAAATACATATTCAAATCATACTAACAGCGTAAAATATTATTATTTTATATCAGATTACAACAATTTTTTTGTTAATGGTTATCTCTTAAAGACTGAACGACTACCCCGGGTTCACCTTACAAAAATTCAATATTAAGTACAGAGTTTATATAATAAGTATCGATTTATTAGGAACGGACGAATATTAATAAACATGACAAAACTTTTATGAGTGTACAAAAATGTCAAGTGCATTTTTAATAGTGGACGTTCAAGTATTACATAGGGCTAACTATAAATCATTTTAAGCAAACAACACTTACTCTACCAGCGAAAAAAGAAAATCATGACTAATACTCTCCTCGATTGATCAAATGTATGATTTGTTTCGGTCTATACATATATAGTGCTATAAAAATGGGCATTATATTTATTTGTTTTCAAGTCGTAGTCCAACTAGAGTTCTATGTCAAATTCTACTTTGGTTAATGTAAATTGATTATACTAAGTAATGTATAATTATAGTATTTATATGTCAGTCAACTGAATTGATTTATTCCTAATAGATAGATAGTAAATAGAAGAAAATAAATGTGCAACAATAATGTATATTTATATTTAAAAATAAATAACGTTTTGAAAAAACAATCCCCTATTTTATGAATGTCACTATTTTATAGGTAATATTTATAATTTACCCTTTGGTTCTTTTGCCAGCAAAGGTAAGAAAGTAAGTCATACCTTTTTATTTTTTTTTCATACTTAATCGTTGGTAATCTAAAGGCTTCGTTAAACAGAACGCGTACTTAGCGCTGCGTTTTATTTAACGTCGCGCTTTTTTCATGTCACATAAATTGACTAGATGAGTCCAACGCTCCTTGACGCAACGCATTCGCCAAATCATAGTGCCTTTCGATAGCAGTGTGAAAATTTAAAAGTATTAAGATGTCGAGTGATTCAGATGTGGCATTGTATAAGCATGAGTATTTTCTAACTAATTCTATCAATTTTTCGGGCATTATCCAGTATTTTAGTAAACATTCACTGGGACGCTAAAATGAAATTTGTAAAAAATTACAACGCCTGACGTCAAAGCGACCTAAAGCCTTCGGTAAACAGAACGCGTAATTAGCGCGCGTCAGAGCGCTAAGCTGACGCCGCGCTATGACGCGCGCTAAGTACGCGTTCTGTTTGACGAAGCCTTAAGGGCTATCCAACTTCGCACGGACCGACGTCATACCGTCGTCTAAGCCTGCTTAGGTAATACTTGCACGCCCGTAGCTTAAACTTAATGAATTACCAAGTAACATAAATGCAATAGTAAATTCAATTATTTTATTAACATTCCCTATGAGATTGTAAGATAAGCGTGTTTAAGTATTCGCTTAGTCGAAGTATCATAAATATTAAAAAAATCACATCGAAAAAGAGGTATACATAGTTACAATGGATACAGGTACAGTGGATGTTATTAATAAAAGTACATAATTATTAATGTTTCTGGACCAAATCGAAGTCATTGTCGATAATCTTCTTCTTCGTCTTTCTTTTTAAGCTGGGCAAATGAACTCACGAGCCTTTCGGATGTAAATTGGTCACCTGAGCTCATATATATTATAAATATGTAGCCACTCACCTTATGCGGCTGTCGGAATTGGAATGCTTCGCTGGATATTCTAGATGTGGCCAGATTTATCTACACTAAGCAGTCGAATATTTTCTCTTTCATTTATAATAATACGAATATCGAAGCATGAATTTAAGACTTATAATAAAACATTTTACGATTCGAAGCAACTACAGCACAACGTTTTTAACGTTCAGAAGTGCAGTCAATATTTATGTACTTTTGTAAATGATCCACAAACTTTAAGTCAATAGCTTATATCTAGAATTGTTAAAACAGTGCCTAGGTCGGAGACTTGATTGAATTGCACAAGGTACACCACATACACAAGTAATATGGACTTAATAAATAAAGGTATAAATTTGGTTTTATATAAAATATTCAAAAAAATACTGGTAACTATCAAAATGTTATTTTAGTATATTATTAATTTATAGGACGTTGGAGCTTTGTAAATGCGAGGAAAACTTGCTCGAGTGTTGTCTGCGCGACCGAGTAGTCATCAAGCGGCAGCGAGTCCCGCGCTAGTTCGAGCGCACTGAACACGCGCCACCACGGCAGCCCCGCCGACGACACGTGGTACGTGCTCATGCCCAGGTACGTCTCGCTGGGAACACAACGTTACCACTATTGTACCCCCTCACTCTACGTGATGCAACTAACTGCACATTCATTAAACAGTGCTAGTTCAGCGCACTGAACACGCGCCACCACGGCAGCCCCGCCGACGACACGTGGTACGTGCTCATGCCCAGGTACGTCTCGCTGGGAACACAACGTTACCACTATTGTACCCCCTCACTCTACGTGATGCAACTAACTGCACATTCATTAAACAGTGCTAGTTCAGCGCACTGAACACGCGCCACCACGGCAGCCCCGCCGACGACACGTGGTACGTGCTCATGCCCAGGTACGTCTCGCTGGGAACACAACGTTACCACTATTGTACCCCCTCACTCTACGTGATGCAACTAACTGCACATTCATTAAACAGTGCTAGTTCAGCGCACTGAACACGCGCCACCACGGCAGCCCCGCCGACGACACGTGGTACGTGCTCATGCCCAGGTACGTCTCGCTGGGAACACAACGTTACCACTATTGTACCCCCTCACTCTACGTGATGCAACTAACTGCACATTCATTAAACAGTGCTAGTTCAGCGCACTGAACACGCGCCACCACGGCAGCCCCGCCGACGACACGTGGTACGTGCTCATGCCCAGGTACGTCTCGCTGGGAACACAACGTTACCACTATTGTACCCCCTCACTCTACGTGATGCAACTAACTGCACATTCATTAAACAGTGCTAGTTCAGCGCACTGAACACGCGCCACCACGGCAGCCCCGCCGACGACACGTGGTACGTGCTCATGCCCAGGTACGTCTCGCTGGGAACACAACGTTACCACTATTGTACCCCCTCACTCTACGTGATGCAACTAACTGCACATTCATTAAACAGTGCTAGTTCAGCGCACTGAACACGCGCCACCACGGCAGCCCCGCCGACGACACGTGGTACGTGCTCATGCCCAGGTACGTCTCGCTGGGAACACAACGTTACCACTATTGTACCCCCTCACTCTACATGAGTACCTTTGTGTATTGTACACCTATAACAGCTTAAACTAAACATTTGTAATATACTGCGAAGATACTCACATGAGGTTAGCACCAACAAAATTTGTAGTCATATAGTTGTGGACATCTAGCACTGCTGCGTCTCGATTTGGACCCGATTTACATTTCACGATTATTGTGTATCCTGTAACAAGTTATTAATTAAAATAATGTTCAGACTCTGGCAACATAACTTAATAAAAGTCTATTTGAGTAACAATCTGAATATGGTCATTGGACTCAAGTCTCCTCCGACCTTAATATATTCAGTTAATTTTTTGTCTTCAATAAAGAATATAATAATAATAATAATCGACTTGTCCTTCATGTAAATCGCATTATATAATAAAATACGCGTTGCCACCTATTGTCAGCTACGTATATTACTATCTTACAAAAAGCTTTTTAATTTTGAAACATCCTTAGATAACGCTAACGGAACCGATATGTGGTGTTAGACAGATAAATTGTTTTTGTTAATTATCCAAATAATGTTACACTGCCATTTATGCCAAATTTTGATACACTAAATTTATGACTAGATGGGACTAGTGTCAAAGGAATACAATATAAATTATTTCTGGCTGTTACGTGATATTATTCTGCTTAAAGGAAGAAAAAAAAACATTACGCTTCTTTACGGAATGCTCAGTATTAGAATCCATCAAATAATTGTCCTGTGATCTTTGAAGTAAATCGATCGATCGATTTAGAAGTAAACTCAAAAAAAAATCTAAAATAATAGATCTTCTTCCTTTGATATAGTGTTTTTAATGGAAACAAAATGTTTTAAAGTTTAAGAGCTATAAAACTCCATTAAAGAGAATCATAGCAATACAGTAGGAATACCGCCCTAGAAATGTACCTCACATTCTCTAAAACTCTTCATACTTTAACTTCATTCTAAAGCACTCCAAACAAATTTGATAATTTTTGTGCTTTGATATCAATACTGCCATATATTTATCCACAGAGATTTTAAAGAAATTCCATGTAAATGAAGGAAGGTATTAATCTATTGACCGAATAATCTGCGTATCGTACTTTTCACGGTTCCTATAGGTGTGGTTCCTATAACACCGGTGCATCACTTGACAAGAATGCACGGGGCGCGGCGTCTTATCCTTTAGGCTACGACGACTTCAAATTGAATGGATTACGGTAGAAGTTGAATCACTGAACGGCCACTAAACGACTTACCCTGCGAGAATTTGCTCTTGAGATGTTGCAGCGAGCCGAGACAGCAGAGCCTGCCGTTGACCATGACGGTGAGCTTGGAGCAGAGAGCCTCGCACTCCTCCATGCTGTGTGACGTCAGCACCACGCTGCGCCCGCCGCCCACCGCGCTGCTGATGCCGCGCCACACGAGCCGCTTCGACGCCGGATCCATGCCTTTCATTATAGTTCATGTTGATAACAAGTTTTTTTTTATTGCCCTTGTTGGCAGACGAGTATACGGTCCACCTGATGGTGAGTGGTTACCGTCGCCCATGGACTTCAGCCATGCCAAGGGCAAAGCCAAGCCGCTGCCTACCGTTGAGTACTCTCCACAAGCCTCGTTTGAAAAAGAACATGTCATAGCGCCTGGGAAACACCGTGGAGAGGAGCTCATTCCAAAGCCGGATGGTACGTGGCAAAAATGATCTCTGGAAACGCACTGATGAAACGTATGAAGATGCAACTTATTGACTATTAAATTGTTGAATAAGTGCTACATAATTACGAAAGTGCAATATCACCTGTCGTAGGCTCATCCAGGAATATAACTGGGTAATCACCGAGCAACGCGACCGCTGTACTGATTTTACGTTTTGTTCCGCCACTACATTCCCGAACCTGTAAATTTAGATAATCGTTGTATTATCAAGAAATCGCGGCTTAAAGGGAAAGGTTTATTCGTATTGAGCGATGCAACTATGCCGGTGTTCAAATTCCGGTGGCAGTTATCAATTTTTCAATATTATTTTCGTGCTCCAAATGATCGAGTTTACGGATTTTAATTCGTTTTGGTTCTGATTTTATTTTGAGTCATTGATAAGTACGTGAACAGTTACGACTTATTTAAAAATATGATACTTGCCGTAGGATATCACAACGGAGGTTTCAAAAAGAACATTACCTTCTTGTCATAGTGCTTTATGAATCCCAATTGTTTAGCAAGATGAACGGCATGAGTTTCGCCTATTGACGTAGGAATGCCACGCAGCAAACAGAAAATCTTCAATGTCTCCCTTGCGGTTAAATTGTCAAACAGTGCATCGAATTGGGGGCAGTAACCTGTAAGCAAACGAAATAGCAACGCGGTGAGGTAAATATAAAATAGTGTTGTTTGTGCTTTAGTGATAATGGTAACATTATAGTATGGCACCGGCCCGCATAGAGAAGATACTGAGCTGGACTGAAAAACAGCATTGATTTACTGTTCTACCGAGAGACAGTGTAACCCGTTTATAAAACACACAGTTTTTACTGGTGGTAGGACACTTTGTGAGTCCGTACGGGTAAGTACCACCACCCTGCCTATTTCTACCGTGAAGCAGTGTGCGTTACGGTTTGAAGGGTGGGGCAGTCGTTGTACTGTAAAAACTGAGACCTAGAATTATATATATTATATTATATTTTTCTATTGATTTTTTTAATAATTATAATATGCATTTTTACTTTTCTAGAGGAATTCATGAGCTCACAGCTCATCAGATGTTATCAGTCAGCATGCGGACCGAGTTAGTGTGGTAGGGTCAACTCACAAATGAGGCAGTACACGTCCTGCACGTGGGTTCTTACCAAGGGTCCGTGCATGAGCGCGTCGCCGTCCCACACACATGCGTCGCCGGTCAGCATGCAGACCGAGCTAATGTAATAAAGTCGACTCACCAATAAGGCGGTGCACGTCCTGCACGTGTGCTCGCACCGAGTGTCCGTGCACGAGCGCGTTGCCGTTCGACACGCGTGCGTCGCCGGTCAGCATGCGGACCGAGCTGATGTAATAGGGTCGACTCACCAATAAGGCGGTGCACGTCCTGTACGTGTGCTCGCACCGAGTGTCCGTGCACGAGCGCGTTGCCGTTCGACACGCGTGCGTCGCCGGTCAGCATGCGGACCGAGCTGATGTAATAGGGTCGACTCACCAATAAGGCGGTGCACGTCCTGCACGTGTGCTCGCACCGAGTGTCCGTGCACGAGCGCGTTGCCGTTCGACACGCGTGCGTCGCCGGTCAGCATGCGGACCGAGCTGATGTAATAGGGTCGACTTACCAATAAGGCGGTGCACGTCCTGCACGTGTGCTCGCACCGAGTGTCCGTGCACGAGCGCGTCGCCGTCCAACACGCGTGCGTCGCCGGTCAGCATGCGGACCGAGCTGATGTGTAATAGGGTCAACTCACCAATGAGGCGGTGCACGTCCTGCACGTGTGCTCGCACGGAGTGTCCGTGCACGAGCGCGTCGCCGTCCGACACGCGTGCGTCGCCGGTCAGCATGCGGAAGGTGCTGGTCTTGCCGGCGCCGTTGACTCCGAGCAGGCCGAAGCACTCTCCGCCGCGCACCGCGAACGTGAGTCGGTCGACGGCTACGAGGCGCCGGTAGCGCTTGCTCAGCTCGCGACACACGAGGCTGAGTGCGGTGACCTCACTACTTGTCATTGCTAGAACACGCTGTTTTTCCTCCACAACATCATCATCTTCAACTTCTGCATTTACTTCAACCTTTTTACTCTCATTGGATTTTGGTTTTGTACCAGATAACATCATAGTCTCTTCTTGTTTCTTGTACAAGACCTGTGTAAATTATTCAATTGAAAATTTGTTTAAATACATGCCATGTTACTCTTTGATATTGTTTACCTTGTTCCAAAGTTCGTATTCCTTAGCTAGCAATATTGCAAATGACACAGTCGCTACTACTATCATAGTAAATAGATATCTTGCAATACCCGGTTCCTTCCACCCTAAAAATGGATTATCCTCAACTGAAAAAAAAAGGGGATCACTTAACTGTTTAATGTTTGTTTCAACATCGTCAAAACATTATGTTAATAAACTTACTACAACACATGGATATGTCTAGTTCATTGCATATAGTTAGTCGTGTGCAATTTTTATAATTTAATTGGTTGCATAAGCTGTCGCAGGCTTTAATCTTTATTGAAGATGTCACCATTTCCCTGAAAATTAATGTTCATTTTATTGTATATGTACCCTGTGTATATTTTTTGTAATATAATTAAATTCACAAATTATTTGTTTTTTTATTGCTTAGATGGGTGGACGAGCTCAGAGCCCACCTGGTGTTAAATGGTTACTGAAGGCTATAGCAACTACAACGTAAATGCGCCACCCACCTTGAGATATGAGTTCTAAGGTCAACGGCTGCACCACCCTTCAAACCGAAACGCATTACTGCTTCATGGCAGAAATAGGCAGGGCGGTGATACCTACCCGTGTGGACTCACATGGGGTCCACCACCACTAAACAATATAATATTTCATAAAATAATATACCTGACACTCTTGCTGACACAGTAGATTGGTAACAATGAAAATGGATACTCAAGTATTTCTGCGTAAGCAGAAGCATTTATGAAAGGCATCCGTAATACTTCAGTGACAAGGAACAACATTGAACCTGAGAAAAAGGTAATGATTACTCAAAAACTCCATAAACAATACAGGGCGTGCTGTGGAACCGTTCCAAAAAACGAAGAACCTATCGTTATAGTTCCTGACATATACCATGATAGTACTAGACACACCACGTTAACAATACGACCTCCCTCCCCCCCAACCCGCCGTTCTCGACTTGAAATTCTTTCGCTTCTAGAACGGTTCCCTGATTCCAAACATAAATTCATGTCCTATACTTACCACAAAATATATTTACAAACACCATTTTACTGAAACCGGTGGCGGCTTCTTCGAAACAGAACGATGCGAGGTAGTGCAAAGGTATAATTGCCAATGAAAACACCATCAGAACTAATAAAATTCGACCTGCATTATGAAAAATAATATTGTCATTAAAATCGCACAACTAACAGAGCTTGCATTAATAAATTACACAAAAGATATTCTCGTACGCATGTTACTAAGACTTAAACCGAAAAGTTTTCAAAAGTTCAATTATTTATACAAGCTTTTCTCGTTACCACAAAATCTACAAAGCGTATCGAAGATGGTTTTGAATTGGTGATAATTTCCGAATTGGTTGAGGTAATTTCCGGAAACGGGTATGCAATATAGCAGCTCCTCCTGTGGGACGGGACCCATGGTTTCAATCGATTTGACATTATTGACGATTATGAATAGAAGGGTTCTTACGCAGCTGAAGCCTTTGACGGAAATAATATTGTAAATGTAGTTCAAAGAACTACTTATTTACATTGTACAATTAGTATATGAGTCGTCTATTATCAAAGGTGGCAATCTGTGCATTTGGACAAAAAAATTTTATTGATATTTCAATACAGACTTATTTGAATATAATCGTCTCCTTCAAAGAATACGGTTCAAAACCTGCATTAAATAAAGGTTAATACTTAACCTGTTATTTATCTAAGATGTCGTTCAGAAGAGTTTTGTGACTGCCAATGGAATACAAAGTCAATAATTGGTTTTTTTGATTTACCAATAATTATCCAAAAGTCACATTGCCGGCTTTGATAATAGTCGACTCATATGTGTTATTAGAAACCATTTCATCTGTACCTTTATTACGTACGAGTATGTTACTGGATGGAGTCGTCAGAGATTACAAACTTGTAGCATAGTGTAAACTTTAAAAATTGTCAGATGTATAAAAAAAAATGATTAAAAATTAATCAGACAAGTGTTTTAAATAATGTCTGTAACTTGTGAAGCACTTAGCAAACATTAAAGTAAACCCTATTCAGACCTAATCGAATGAGGGACGCGTTAATAGAGAACACGAACAAACGTCCCATAGCTTAGTTACTCATGTTAATATTTTTTTTGCTTAGATGCCCACCTGGTGTTAAGTGGTTACCGGAGCCCATAGACATCTACAACGTAAATGCCGCTACCTTGAAATATAAATTCTAAAGTCTCAGTATAGTTACAACGGCTTCCCCACCCTTCAAACCGAAACGCATTACTGCTTCACGGCAGAAATAGGCAGGGCGGTGGTACCTACCCGCGCGGACTCACAAGAGGTCCTACCACCAGTAAAAATGTTCATATTCCTATTACTTACCAAGTTCAGCAGGCGTCGACATTCCCATTTCTTGGAAGCACGCAATAGTGACTATAATGCAAATGTGGTTCAGAAACAACCAAATCCAATCCCAAATGAGGGCAGTACTCCACATTACTACCGGTCGCACTCCTGATACTCTTTGGAGAAGTTTCGCACCGCTGATGCGCTCCTACGAAACGTTTTAAAACACTTAAAACAAAATAAAAATTCAATATAATTATTTAATGAAACTTTAGTTGTTTAATGAGCAGTAGGTTTTATGATGTAGTAAGTACCGTGAGAAACAGGTTGCGAGTATATCTTACTAACAAAGCGTAGTAGGTGAGCTCAGGGGCTCAAGTATGTGTTTTCAATACTCTAATGTAGCATACAATAAAATCTGAATGTTCACGTGTTCAATCTGATCGGATAATTGATGCTCAAACAGAACATGATCAAGAAAATGTTTATAGTGTACTTTAAAGATTTTAAATTTACTAGTGTAAAAGTGCACTGTGAGTATAGCGCGGGAAGGTGCCTTGACCATTGCTTCCTTGAAACCGGAATTCCAATTGAAAATTTGATATTTTGATAAAGCTCGTCTGCCTATCAGTAACAATTTAAAAAATACTTACTTTAATTACAAAGAGAACCAGAAAAGAGCTTATAACCGCTATACAAAATCCCAGGCTAAAAGAAAACATGAAGGCGGTGTTTGTTCCGGTAGACATTACTTGAACCTAAAAATAACACGAATTAAAAGCAATCGTACAATTATATTTAAAAACATAATTAATGATAAACATAATTGAATATTAAAATCTTAATTACAAAAAATACTATTTATTGCGTTATAGGCAGTATAATTTTTTTATGTCACAAGGAAATACGTTTCCGTAACTAGTTTTATGTAAAATAGTTTTGATAGATGTTGAGATTAGATGTTGAGTATTACATAAACTATTTATACATATTATATTATGCTATTTACACATTTTTTTATTTTATTGCTTAGATGTGTGGACGAGCTCACAGCCCACCTGTTGTTAAGTGGTTACTGGAGCCCATAGACATCTACAACGTAAATGCGCCACCCACCTTGAGATATAAGTTGTAAGGTCTCAGTATAGTTACAACGGCTGCCCCACCCTTCAAACCGAAACGCATTACTGCTTCACGGCAGAAATAGGCAGGGCGGTGGTACCTACCCGNCCACCTTGAGATATAAGTTGTAAGGTCTCAGTATAGTTACAACGGCTGCCCCACCCTTCAAACCGAAACGCATTACTGCTTCACGGCAGAAATAGGCAGGGCGGTGGTACCTACCCGTGCGGACTCACAAGAGGTCCTACCACCAGTAATTACGCAAATTATAATTTTGCGGGTTTCAATTTTATTACACGATGTTATTCCTTCACCGTAGAAGTCAATCGTGAACATTTGTTGAGTACATATTTCATTAGAAAAATTGGTACCCGCCTGAGATTCGACTTCTAAATGACTTGACGACACATTATAATATGTAGCATTATTAAGTTTGTGAAATCCTGTTTTGGTCTTTTTTCTTTATACTACATATTATAATGCCCAGATCTATTAATTGACATGTTGTTGAATTTTAATAAATAAATACGGTGTGAAAATTTATCTTTTATCACGTTAAGCCTTTTTTTGCTACTACCTCGATATAAAAAAACTGGTTCGTTTTCGTTAATTTTGTTTAAGCAAAACCAGATCGGGCTGGCACTAAAATAAAACAACCTTAAAAGTAATTTTAATCTTAATTAATTCAATGGCAAGTTTTGTCAATTTTTAATGATTTATATTTAAATCATTAAATAAAATGAATTTATTGTAACAATTTTTTATCAACAATCACATGACATGATTTCACATGTGTCCAATCTAAAGTCTATTTATTATTCTTAGCTCGTTTTCTCGTTCATAGTTAGTGAAAAATAAGAGTGGTCCAATTATTACCTATTAAATGCATAAAACAAAACGCATAAAAATCAGATATATAATGGCTCCTCTTCACAATCGGCCATGATGGGCGATTATAGGAACTCACGATAGTGTAGAGGGCATAAATGTCTGTGATCGGCCATCATCGCGTATGATCGTGCGCAATCGGCGTTGTGTCGATAGATCAAAGGAATGATGGCCCATGATTGTATGAGCGTCCACACCATCGCCGATTAGTCAGGATGTAGTTGTCTCGAGTGTGTGTCAATTGTGTCGACTACAAAACTATGGTTGCGTCGACCTTGTTTTATTCCGATTGATAGCCACGACCCACCAACTTCCCTTGCTCCATCTTGTTTATAGTTACCGGTAGGCAGCGGCTTGGCTCTACACCTAGCATTGCTGAAGTCCATGGGCGACGGTAACCACCCACCATCAGGTATGCTCGTCTGTCTACAAGGGCAATAAAAAAAAAGAGTTTTCACGATTCTTTTTTCGCGCACTATAACTAAATGACTATGTGAGCTAACTAAAAATATTGCCGCAGCCGCGATCCCCTCAATTTCCATCATCGATACCTAGACGTCTTAACATATCAGTAGACAGTCAGTAAATGAACGATCACGATTGTGTGGAGAGTTGCCCGATCATGGCGGCGATGATGGACGATCATTTGTTGGCCCATCATGGCCGATTGTGAAAAGGAGCCATTATGTAGTTCATATTTACCATTCCTTCAACTGAATATGGTAGCGGATGGTTGACAAATGTCAAAGTTGTATTGGGTGACAGAGAACGAATTATTGCGTTCTCGACTAGTGAAAGCGAGATAGCAGAATCATGAAGACCGTAGTTACTGAACCAGGCTGTTATGCTGTTATTACGAAATGTAGCTCCCACTAGATCTTCATATCGTACTCGAGATTGATCTTCTGCGATCTGTGAAAATAATTTAAGCATACCTGTAGCTACTCGAAACTGGGACCTTGAAATGAGACCGGACTTTGCGAAAATAGAATTCGCGTATAATTTTTATTCTATTTTTTTAAGCGCTGACCTTTAGATTAATTTTTAGAAAATACATTTGGGCAAAGATATCCTCAAAATGGTACCCTAGATTGCCATAATACAATTATAATAATGACTACCCCAAATGTTCGACTAGAATAGTTGATACCATGGAGATCTAACGTCGGAAAACATAAATAATAATTAAACAACATGGTTCTAGAATCTACTGCTGGTAGTGCATTCTGTGAGATCGCAAGGGCAGTGGCATTTACAATGTGATGTCTATAGACTTTAAAAACACAGATTAACACCATTTCCAATGTTTATGAATTTATGAAAAAATAGATTCACTTTGTTTAAAGGCCTCGAAATAGTAAACACAATTTTATTTTAATAGCATAGCATAGCACAAAAATTGCAAAGGCAGCAATTTTCACACCCAAAAATGATAAATTAAAATTATCATTTACAATGAGTAGAATAATATCAAAAATACTTTAATTGTTTATTATAGTAACTACTAATACTTACAAGTTTCAAATAGACGTTTTTTAAGTTAGATGTTCCAACATCATATAACTTCAAGCCGGGGTACGTTGATCGTTTGAAATAATCTTTGTATGCCATCATGACATTAGCTTCAGTACTGCCGTCTCTCAAATCGTTACCTTGCGATACTAATGTCTCGGTTCCTTTAAATCCACTCTCCAGGCTTAGTTCAAGCGGGGGCAATACATTCAAGAATTTCCAAGATAGTGAAACTATCATCGATAAAATAATGTTTATTATCGGCCATATTATTTGTATTGCAGCGAGTGTCTTATTTCTCAACGTGTTGTACATCAGTTTCAAGAACATAGCTTTTATGTGATTCTTCAGTAAATGAAACCCTTGCGTTTTATGTAAAGGCTCATTATCTTCTGAAATAAAATATCTAATTTTGAAAGTTGTTTAATTTATGTATAATATGTAACATATACATCTGGCTGAATGATCCTAATTGATTCAGAGCAAAGCAGTGGGCTAATAAAACATTAATGAATATCCTTTGAGACATATTTTAAAATGATCAAAATCTGAGCTTATATCTATTTATAGGAGGTCGTATGCCTCACTCAACTATATCTATAACTCTATAGGTACACTTTGGTTCATCTTTTTTTTTTTATTGCTTATATGAGTGGTCGAGCTCACAGCCCACCTGGTGTTAAGTGGTTACTGGAGCCCATAGACAGCTACAACGTAAATGCGCCACCCACCTTGAGATATAAGTTCTAAGGTCTCATGTTTTAGTTACAACGGCTACACCACCCTTCAAACCGAAACGCATTACTGCTTCACGGCAGAAACAGGCAGGGCGGTGGTAACTAGCCGCGCGGACTCACAAGAGGTCCTACCACCAGTAATTACGCAAATTATAATTTTGCGGGTTTGATTTTTATTACACGATGTTATTCCTTCACCGTGGAAGTCAATCGTGAACATTTGTGGAGTACGTATTTCATTAGAAAAATTGGTACACGCCTGAGATTCGAACACCGGTGCATCGCTCAACACGAATGCACCGGACGTCTTATCCGTTAGGCCACGACGTCCTTCATGCGTGAGGTTATCAAACACTGCATTTTAAATACGTAGACGACACTTGAAAATCATTTTCCTTTCATTAGTTATCCCGCTACAGACTACCATTAGGTACGAACGGTATATTTACTGGCCACTGCCACTTTAACTTTCCGTTTCAATAATATTTATTGATTTTAACTATCCTGCGGATTTCTATTTTTTTTATTGCCCTTGTAGGTAGACGAGCATACGGCTCACCTGATGGTAAGTGGTTACCGTCGCCCATAGACCCATAGACTTCAGCAATGCCAGAGGCAGAGCCAAGCCACTGCCTACCTTTATTTCTGATTAGATTACTTTAGATTTAATTCAGATTACTTTAGATACATTAAAATTCCCTAAATCGCGCAGTCTCTATAAGGTACATCTCTATTTTATTCTATGCAAATAAGTAAAACGTTGACTCACTCAACATGTCCCCATTCATATCAATCATTTCGATATCTCCTTTAGTTTCTTTTATTTCAACATTGTTATCTTCGATTCCAGCTCTGCAAATTGGTTGAAAATTGAGTTAATTCATTATGAAATTTAAATAACAGCGTATTAAGGAAGCAAAGTTTTAAATTTTCTTAAATATTTTTTTCTTCTTTTGTTTGTTTAGATTTTTATTGGTAGCGGATTAGATTATTAACTATTAATTACTTCATAAAAACTTCCTCAAGGCTAGTCACTGATAACCCGTAGCTTGATATAAATAAAGACTCTTTCTTTTCTTCAAGTTTTTTGAGCATTTCGGGAAATTTACTTACACTCTCACTAGGTAAAATGTAAGTTAATTCTGAGCCTGAAATGAAAAAAATAGTAAAAGCAGATCAGTTAATTAAATCATAATATCAATTTTTTATTATTAAGTATAGTAAGCGGCACGTAAGTTGGCAAGGTTTTGGTCTAGTGGGGGTAATGTCGCGCATAGTGCACATTGCAACAAAAAATGGTCATTTTTATTGCCCGCATATAATTTAATTTTATTTTATTTTATTTTTTATTTGCCATGATTTGTTTTTAAGCCTGTGTGTTTAGAAGAAAGTTAAAGAAAAGAGAGGAATTCGTGAAGTTTATTAGATGTTATAAATACAATACAATTAAAAGTTAAGAAGTTTATTTAAAAAAAAATTATGTGTCGCCGTCGTCACTATCATTTTCTAATAGTGCTACCCCTTGGATTAAATTTATGGTAGCACCTGAGCTGGTGGAAGGAGTTGGCTTCTCATTGTTGACATAACGAAGAGTCGCTGTCGTCACTGGCGTAAATAATAAAACGCTCAGTGACTTAATCGACTATATGGTCATTGGTATTTGGTCCTGGCATTGCAAACAAATTTAAAAGAATAACACTCGTATAATAGCCGGCAAACTTCTTGAGCATTTGTTGACGTAGTGGGGGTAAGTTTGAGCATGGTACACTCACGTGCAAAAACATTATTTACTCTGCGTCATAATGCAATTAAATTATTAAAATCAACATATGTATTTTTTTATATATTTATTAGAACATCAACAAAAAATATAGGTTAATAATTGTAATAATTTAATCTTGGGGTAAAATAGATATTCCTTCTATTAAGTCAAAACTAGAGCTGTTGCCAGGTCTTGGTTCAGTTGAAGCGAAGCTGGTATTTGTAATTTTTTTTTCGTTATCATAATCTTGACCATCATCATCATCACCCGAGTCGCCATCATCGTGATGAGTCGACATAGGGCTCATCGGTGTAGTTTACAACTCGGTCGGTTCGATCTTCTTTTTTGTCTATAATTAATTATTTTTTGAAGATATTCGATTCGTAGTAATCGAATGTTACTTTTTTCAATTACCAGCTTCCGATTATTTTCTGTTTTTTTTCTCCATCTGAAGCCTAGCTCTTTCATAATTCGTCGTAAACTTCATTCCCAGCCATTAAAATATATATCTTCTTTAAAATTTTCGAAGCCTTTCTACGGTACGGAGTTTCGCTGCTTGTTATGTAGTTATTATGGTTACATCTTTTTATTACAGATTGAACGAAACTATCCATTCCGGTAACTTTCTTCTTCCCTGATCTTTTCTTACCCGGAGTCCAAAACACGGCGAGCAAGCCAGAGCCTTTAGCTTCGTTAATAATGCACCTAACAGTACTCACTGATGTTTTTGTTGCTTCCGAAGTCTGTTTTACTTTTTCCATATCATTCTTCCCCTGTTTTATAATGAAGCAATATACGTCGTACACAATTTTTTTACCCTTTCTTTTGAATACTACACCAGTTTGTCGCGGCTTAATGTATTTTTTATAAAAAATCAACAAACACTCAAGAAATAGCAATGGCAACAAAGTCAACAAGCAATTATAACAAATAACTTAACGATTAATAACGATAGACTTTTCACTGTACGCAAGCGTACTTTTGGGAGCAAGCGGAACGAGGGCGCGGTGCGGGACGCAAGGTTCGACTGATCTACCAATAACGCGCTCGATACGATTTCCCCTGCCGTCGCGCCTCACCCTCACCACGAAAGTGATCTAAAATTCAGTTCTGCGCAGTCAAGGTCATTTGCTCAAGATGTTTGCCGGTTACTATAACAAAAACTAAGTTTAAAACAATAATAACAACTCGTAACAAAAACTCAATATAAACAAAGGGTTCCTACAATTTAGTAGGCGCATGTGTAATCAGGAGCGAACGGAACTTGGACGCGGTGCGGGAGGGGAGAGTCGACTGACTCACCAATCGCGCGCTCGGAACGGTGCTACGTCTTTCCTCGCGTCCCGCTTGACAACCAAAGAGACCTAAAAAACGACTTCTGCGCATCTAACGACTCTTGCCAAGTTACGTGCCGGGGACTATACATAATATTAATTCTTGTGTTGCCTGGTTGTATGAAAACGTGAACTCCACCACCTGCCCCAAAAACATAAGGTTTTTCTTTGTTTTTTATTTATTTATTGCATAGATGAATGGATGAGGTCACAACCCACTTGGTGTTAAGTGTTTACCGGAGCCCATAGTCATCTATACCGTAAATGTCACCATCCACCTATGAGTTCTAAGGTATCAGTATTTTCTAATGAAATACATACTTAACAAATGCTTACGATTGATTTCCACGGTGAAGGAATAACATCGTGTAATAAAAATGAAACCCGCAAAATTATAATTTTCGTAATTACTGGTGGTAGAACGTCTCGGCACGGGTGGGTACCACCACCCTGCCTATTTCTGCCATGAATCAGTAATGCGTTTCGGTTTGAAGGGTGGGGCAGCTGTTGTAACTATACTTGAGACCTTTGAAATTATATCTCAAGGTGGGTGGCGCATTTACGTTGTGGATGTCTATGGGCTCCAGTAACCCCTTAACACCAGGTGGGCTGTGAGCTCGCCCACCCATCTAAGCAATAAAAAAACCAAAAAAATAATAATAATTTGCATTAATTTTTTTTTGCACGCTTTGCGCGGAAGTCTTCAGTCTTAAGTACAACATAAAGCATTTTGGTTCAACGAATTATTACTATTTTTGTTTTCGTGGAGTGTCTCTAAAAATTACTTGCGCTGTAGACGTCCTATAAAGGAACACCATAATGTCATATTGTTTGACATATCAGTGAATAAGCTTACCGATATTTGAATTTTTCTTGAGATTAGGGACATATGTTTTGAAGAATTGAGTGACAAGATCGACTTGGCAGGCGGCGTCCTTGACGAGCGCGAGCTTGTAGCCGAGTCCGTAGTGGCGCTTGAGGAAGTAGGGGGAGCCCAGACAGGCCAGGCGGCCGGCGGCGAGCACGGCCACGCGGTCGGCCAGCACGTCCGCCTCGTCCATGAAGTGCGTGGTCAGCAGCACGGTGCGGCCGCGCTTCTCGCGCTGCAGCAGGTCCCACAGCGCGCGCCGCGCCGCCGGGTCCAGGCCCGACGTGGGCTCGTCCAGCAGCACCACGCGCGAGCGCCCGCACAGCGCGCAGCCCGCCGACAGCCGCCGCTTCTGCCCGCCCGACAGGCTCGACGCCGCCGCGTGCCTCTGGCACACAACACAAGGTATCCCTCCGGGTCATTACCAATTTAGATTTCTGTCATTCTACCCCCTTAATGCAATATTGGACACTTAAAAAGCAGGTATACTTTTAAAAAAATTTTTTTTAACTCTTACACAAACTAAATTTAAATAACTAAGGTAATTTTATGATAAATTGATTAATTATAGTAATAGCTTAAGAAAGATTGCAAACAAAATATATAATGTATGTTAATTACCTTGTCATCCAATTCGAGAAGTTTGACGAAATGATCTATTTCTTCATTGATTTCTGATTCGGGAATCCCTTTTAGCTTTGAATAAAAAATTAAATGTTCAGCTACGGTCAGGTCAGGGAACAGTACATTATGTTGAGGACATATTCCAAGAGAACGTCTAGCTTTTTCCGTTTCCGTCACGATATCATATCCATTGATCGTTACCGATCCTGATGTTGGAGGGACCATTCCTATCACAAAAAATATTTTTAATAGTTCCATTACATTAGCATCGTACAACTGTTACCGTACGTACAGTTAGGTTTGAATTGATAGTTAATAATTTTTTTTTTGAATAAAATGATATTTGATTAATGAGCTGGTACATTTGAAGAGTTTGGTAAGAACAAATTATATATTGTGAATATGTAATAGTGGATAGTTATTGTTGTATGATTGATTGCACGGGTGATGAATTATGATAATGGATTTTGTTGGGTATTATTCAAATATTACCTGTTAACATAGAAATCGTTGTCGTTTTCCCCGCTCCATTGTGACCCAGAAGTACTGTAATCTCGTTTTCATAAAGTCTAAGATTTAAATTATCGACAGCTTTCCCCCGTCCCTTATATCTTTTTGTGAGATTCTGAAACCACAGCACTAAATTATTATATTTTTTTCTTTTTTTACGTGTCCTATACGTAACTAAAACTAATGTTCTAGACGATTTACCAACCGTGATCAGGAAAAGTGTAAAAGTATTTATTCGAAACGTTGCCGCGTCGCAATTTATCTATATATATAAAAAATGAATTGCTGTTCGTTAGTCTCGCTAAAACTCGAGAGCGGCTGGACCGATTTGGCTAATTTTGGTCTTGAATTATTTGTGGAAGTCCAGAGAGGGTTTAAAATGTAGATAAATGAATAAAAATGTTCGGAATTAAATAAAAATAACAATTTTGTTTTTCCTTTGATGTGTCCCCCGTCGCACGGACTCCTTTTGTTTGTTTTAAGTTTATTTTATACAAAAATTTAGGTCTTTTATTTATCGATTGAGGCACTACGAAGTCTGCCGGGTCAGCTAGTATATAATAAAAAAGGATTTAATAGTAAAAGGAGATTTGTCACTTTCAAAACACAATGTTGAGTCAGCGCAAAAAATGCAGACGAAAAAATAAAAACAGTTACAGCATGTATTAAAAATATTGCCTTGAATATTGATTCTCACATATAGCTTAGTTCTATTATAACTAATTAATAATAAAGGATGTGGTTCTTTCATTTTATTATAAAATATTAAACATAACTATTCAAATATTGTAGCATATTTTTGTTTCGCTACTGCATTAAATTAGTGACTAGATAAGATTAAATAATGTTCTTACTTGAATGTTTACGCCAATGGGAACGCCTTTGGGTTCCTCGTCGTGTACCACCGACAATAATGCATCATTATATTCAAGATCGTCAGATGTTTTCTCTCGATTTGTGTCTTAAAAAAAAGATTAATTAGTCAACAGTAACATACTGAAATCGAGGTAATTTATAGTAATTATTTAGTAGAAACAGGCAGACTATCTATATTTTCCAATATAACGTATATTACTTCAAATACTCGTATTAGCCGCTGATTAACTACTGTAAAATTACTTCATTAATCAAAAATCATTTATTGTCGTAATCGTACGTGGCCAGGAAATGAGCAATCAACCCAAATAGCTACAACATTAATGATTAAATACATTTGGGAATAAACGTAATGACGCAGGGCTTTACAGAGGTCAAAAGTTCGAATATGCGTAATCCAAAGGTTGGTTGGTTGACTACGAATATTAGAACAAAGAAAACCTTTATTTACTTATTTTCTTTGAACATTTATCAGACCACTGTTTGTTGTTTGACACCTTTTTTATCTGAAATTAATTAATTAAACAAATTAATCTGTTTAAGACATGAATGTCCGTAATTTCCGCATTTCGGACATGCATATGTTAAACAGATGAATTTTGGTGGAGCGCATTAAAATTTCAATTCTTAGTATGTAAAGTTCATATTACCTATAATATGAAATGTTTTAGGGATTCCAGGTTCTAGCGTTCGGAGCATGCAATATTACTATATAATATTACTACAAATAATCGACATCAAGACTCAGTTTTCAACTCTTATGAAGTCAGAAAAATTACTTTCCAGTGTCGATTGTGTTGATGAGGTCATATGAATATATAAAGAAAGCATAGCAATATAATTAACTAGTCTGGCCATAAATACTATTACATAAAAAAAAAAAACTATTTTTCAACTTTTTAATTATTTTGAATTTGGAACACGTATATTATTTTTAAAACTTCTTTCGCTTTTGCGCCATTTCACACATTTTTTCGTGTCCATTATCAAATTACAATATGGAATAGGGTATTAAAGAAAATAGGGTTGCAGTGATCGCCTTGCACAAAGTAAGTATGGAGCCGTCGGTCATATTCCAGACACTTCAAAAGTTTGGTATAAGCCGTATGTTCGTAAATTGTACTATCAATAGATTCAACAACACTGCTTCTGTCGAAGACCAGAAAAGATCAGGGCGGCCGCGTGCTGTTAAAACTACAAATACTGTTAATGCTGTTAAAGCCAGAGTTTGTCCAAAACCACATCAGAAAGTAAAAAATCTTATTGCGAGAAATGAAGATTCCCGCTAGGACTCTGTTGCGTATTATAAAACAAAATCTGAAGCTCGGTGCTTAACGTCGATATACAGGACGTGCCCTAAATCAATGTTTACAATTAAAGAGAGTGGATTGATCAAAACGCTTTCTGTCACGAAACGCAGGTGAAAGGTACAGAGATATCCCCTTTACCGATGAAAACATTTTCACGATTCAAGAACACTACACTACGCAAAATGATATAGTGTACGCTCACAGTTCTAAAGAAGCTGCTCAAGTGGTCACAAAGGTACAGCGTGGTCATCATCTTGCGTCAGTGATGTTATTTTATTTTTATTTTTTATTTCATAGATTAGTGGACGAGCTCACAGCCCCCCTGGTGTTAAGTGGTTACTGGAGACCATAGACATCTATAACCTAAATGTCGCCACCCACCTTGAGATATGAGTTCTAAGGTCTCAGTATAGTTACAACGGCTGCCCCACCCTTCAAACCGAAACGCATTACTGCTTCACAGCTGAAATAGGCGGGGTGGTGGTACGTACTCGTGCACACTGACACGTCGGTGGGGCGTGTCTTATCTAGGAGTCACAAAACTAAATTTTTGTGAAAAAGAAGTGAAAACCTCAGCCAAAGTGTATCAAGATACAGTCTTGTATTATGTTGTGAAGCCTCTCAGCAATATACTTTTAAATACCGTGGAATTTCCAGCTGGACCCATGCACCTGGTCACAAGGCACGGACTACCCACGCCTGGCTTGAAACCAACATTTCGGACTTATGCTGGCCCTCATCTAGCCCAGATCCCAACCCTTTAGATTTCAAATTATGGACAGTTTTAGAGGACATATGGCCTGCTCTAAACGACACGGCGACATTGGATCTCTTAAAAAATCTTTGGGAGCAAGCAGTGGCGAAATTTCCCTTTGAAACAGTGCGTAAATCCATAGATTCGTGGCCAAACAGATTAAAGGCCTGTATAAAAGCCAAAGGTGTCCATTTCGAATGGAATATTTTTTTATTTTTTTTTTACTGACTGACTGACTTTTTTGACTGAGACTTTAATAAATATGTAGGTATAAATTTTAATAATATTACATTACTTCATTTAAAAAAAATGCATTCAGTAACAGAACTTATGGCTGGACTATGTACCTATCTAGAGCAATTGTTTATAATAAAATCCGCATTGATTTTTTAGCTGAAAAAACATTTATTGATGAGCAAAACAAAAAATTATTTATAAAATATTTCGGGTTGACGCACAATTTATGTTTTAAAATTATTAGTGTGCATCTTTCCGTCATTCGAACGTTGTTTACTGGTTATAATTGTTCGAACAATGTGAAGGAAAACAACTCTATAAACTATAAACACCGGTTTTAAAACAGGTTTAACTTGATATTAAAATTCTTTTGATGTCAATGTCCCGTAACCAGGGTAACATACCTGACCTTTAGAGTAATTGTTTTTGTAGGTCAAACAAAGCGTCTGCTGTTATAAGTAAAGTTATACATACATATCAGGCATACAGCTTATACAGTTTAATACATTTGCAGTTTCGAAGCTAGATTCTGAAATCAGCTTCAAAATAATTTAAATTTAAGAAGTTCGATGGTCTCTCTAGTATCTTATTGAATGAAGCCAACGTAGCCACAAAACACTCCTACTGGCCCACAAACGCAGCTTCGAATGTCGTTAGGAACTCTCACTAGTGAATTCTTAAAAGATAGCGGTACAACATTAAACTTTTTGTTCTAGAAAAGGGTAGCCGTCAAAGCGTAATCTGAGCAGTTTGCAAAGAATAATCAAGGCAATATTCGGCAGTCTTCCATCACTATGTTATATAATCTAGCCATAACATAAATGAGGCGATCGTCATTTATGTTATGTTTGACACTGGACGAATGAGTCGAACTGCTGCAGTGTGAGAATTCTCTCTATGCAATTCGTTTTACTCAGTGGCAGTCAACATGCGACTTTAGATTTTAACGACCCGGACTGCGTCTCTTGCAAGGAGACGATTTTCTGGTCCAGGCGTATTAGACCTTATTTATTAATTAAGAATTATATAATAAGTGGATTATAGAAATACCAAATTTTTAAGTAAATACATACGATCAACTTGCGAATAACTTCCACAATTAAAACGTTATGTGTTGATACAATGAGCCCGGAAAGGTACGAGTTGGTATAACCAGCCTGTTTATTTCTGCTGCGATTCAGTATTTTGTCCGGTTTGTTAGGTGGGATAATGGTATAAGACCCAGGCGAGGAGGCAACGCAATACTCCCTTAACCTGAAACATGTCGTCTTATCGGATTTCCTGGATCCGTTCTCGGTGCTTTAAGCTCTTCATGCACCAGTCACCGTTCGAGTTCGACGAGCGAACTAATCCATAAACATTAACAACCCACTGAGTTTTTCGCCGGATTTTCTCAGCGGGTCGCCATTCCGATTCGGTAGTAGATTCTGCGAAGCACTGCTCTTGTTAGGGTCAGTGTTCGCAAACTCTCTCAGGTTGAGCCCCTAAGCTCACCTATCAGCTATAGGGTAGCTGAAATAACCCCTTAGGCTACCAGCGAATAGGTAGGTAATAAATATATACTTAGTCTGGCCATAAATACTGTTACAAATAAAAATAAACAAAATATTACATTTGAATTTGGAATCTGTCATTTTTATATGAGTGCTCATTGAGTTTTCTCATTTTGGCGCCAATACATTGTACAATATTTTGCGGTATTAAAATGGAGTGGGGTGATAAAGAGAACCGAATCGCTGTGATTGCATTACACAAAGAAAGTATGAGCCAAATGCAATTTTTAAAACTCTCCATACGCTTGGTATTAGTAAAATGTTTGTGTACCGGGCTATTAATAGGTGCAATGAGACCTCCTCTGTTTGTGACAGAAAAAGATCTGGCCGTCCACGTAGTGTTCGTACGAAAAAGGTGGTCAAAGCAGTAAGGGAAAGAATTCTAAGAAATCATGTCCGAAAGCAAAAGATTTTATCTCGGAAGATGAAGATAGCACCTAGAACCATGTCGCCTATTTTAAAAGATGACTTAGGACTTGCAGCCTATAAGAAATGTACTGGTCATTTCTTAACTGATAATTTAAAAGAGAATAGGGTGGTAAAATCGAAACAACTACTGAAGCGGTACGCAAAGGGAGGTCATAGAAAAAAATTGTTTACGGATTAGAAAATTTTTGCAATTGAGCAACATTTTAACAAACAAAATGACCGTATTTATGCTCGAAGCTCCAAGGAAGCTTCCCAATTAGTCGACAGAGTGCAACGTGGGCACTAGCCGACTTCAGTGATGGTTTGGTGGGGTATTAGCTATGAAGGAGTGACTGGGCCATACTTTTGTGAAAAAGGTATCAAAACATCGGCACAAGTGTATCAAGATACCATTCTTGAGAAGGAAGTGAAGCCCCTTAACAACACCATGTTCAATAATCAAGAATGGGCCTTCCAGCAAGACTCGGCGCCAGGTCATAAAGCTCGGTCTACGCAGTCTTGGTTGGAAACGAACGTTCCTGACTTCATCAGAGCTGAAGACTGGCCGTCGTCTAGTCCCGATCTTAATCCGCTGGATTATGATTTATGGTCAGTTTTAGAGAGTACGGCTTGCTCTAAACGCCATGATAATTTGGAATCCCTAAAACAATCCGTACGATTGGCAGTGAAAAATTGAGTTCGTGCTTCTATTGATAACTGGCCTCAACGTTTAAAGGACTGTATTGCAGCCAATGGAGACCACTGCGAATAAGCTTTTTATACTTTAAATTGTTCTATATTTATGCATTAAACTAACACACTG